CCCTCTCAGATTTCGTCTCCTCTCGGTCGCCGTGTCATCGGTTTCAACACCTCGCTGTCGCCATTCTTCTCTTCCTCGTCGCCGGTCGTCCCCAATAGTCGCCGCGACTCGCCTCTTCACGATTGTTGTCGTTTGACCGAGAGAAGATTAGGGGTTTTGTTGTTCCCTTTCAATCTGACATAAAGTAAGCATTTTCTCCTCCTCGAATGAATGCTTTTGTCTAAATACCACTCGATTAAGTTTATGATTCATATAATTTCTCATTTCAGTTTTGGTTGTCGTGCCTTGCTCCGTGAGTTTTGTGGCTACTGTCCACCTATGCCGGCTGCTGTAAGCATCGCCATCTCGAGGTTTGCTTCAAAATTATCGATGATTTTAACATTTTTTTAGAAATATACATTATGGATCTGAATTGGAATTTAGTATTAAAGTGTTTGCGTACTGATTATGACGTCAATTGAATGTTTGTTGTATTTGGATGTTGCTGAAGTTGATTTTGATGTAGTTTGTGGGAGTAAAAATGAAATGGAAGGGAGTTGGGTCGAGTGAAGATGTATATAAGGGAGTTAACGTTGATTTTTTTTTTTGAGAATGTTAATTAATATTTCAATGAAGTGATGGAGTTATTCGATTCTTATTTGATGCTTTGAATTGTTCGATTTTGTCATAACACTTAGTTTCGTGATGGACATTGAAGTGTAGTTTTTGGATATTGAGTATCAAGTTTATGAGTTTGAAGTTTATGTTGGATATGAATTCTGAAGTTCTTTATTTTGAATTTTATGTTGGACATAAATGATGAAAGATTACACATATATGAATTTGGTGTACATGTTATGGTGTTATTTATTCAAGTGTATTTACATTTTTCTTGAAATCGACAATATGGATCTGAATTGAAATTAAGTATTGAGGTGTTTGAGTACTGATTATGACGTCAATTCAATTTTTTTGTTGTATTGGGATGTTGGTGAAGTTATTTTTATGTATTTTGTGGGTGTAATAATGGAACGAAAGGGAGTTGGGTCGAATGAAATTGTATATAAGGCAATTGAAGTTGATTTTTTTTTGTTTGAAATGGTTGTATTGAAGTGGGTGGTATTAAAAACTAAGAAAAAAAGTTTACAAATTCTTGTTTTGTTAATTTTAAAAATTTAGTTAGGAATCCAAGTTTTTGACGCTGTTGCTGGGGACTTAGTTGATTTTATTTAAGCCATAGTGTTTGAGGATAGGAAGCTTAATCAAGTTTTCTTTTTCTCACATCTTTTTTTGGTTGTAAGTAAAGAAGTTCGACTTCGTCTATCCTTTCAAATTCAGCTTCAACGTTGGGTCGATCCACGACTCGGCTACAACTGCAATGCATAACAGCATGGCTCAGATGTTAGGGCATGAGAACAGCTCGGTTTTCGAGAAGCTAGAAGACTACATGCAAGCTCTAATTGATCAGCTTGCCGAGCTTCACTTTATCACATGCCATGCTGGAGCGCTTGTCAGCACGGAGCTGACCTCAACGAAGGTGAGCTTCTTGCGGGAGCACGAAGCCTAAAAAGCGATTGAGGCGCTGACTGTCGAGCTGAACAAAACGAAGGTGGAGTGGCTGAAGTTGGCAAGTCCATCGCTTCCCTGTCCAACCATCTTACCCAAGCTCGAGTCGATGCCCGAAAGGCTGAAAAGAAGGCCAAAGAAGCTGAGGAACGGGCCAATAAGGCCATGGACGACCTGAAGGCCGATTAGGTGGCTCAGGTGAAAAAGTGGTCTTCTTTTCACGAGCTAGAGAAGGCCATCAGGGTTTTGCCAGAGTTCGGCGATTTAGTCAGGAACATCGCAAACCGAGGCTTCGACTTCACTACAAATGGGGTGAAGAAGCTTGCCTCAAAGCTCGACCTGTCTTCGATCTACAAGGCCTACGAGGCCGATCTTTTGTACGACCTTAATGAAGAATCAACATCTTTTAATCACATTGCTTCTGCTTTCTTATTTTTTTTTCAGTAGTTCATTCTGGCTTACCCGACCATGGACATTTTATTATGCGTGTTTAAAGTTATAAATTTTTTACGCTCAACCAATGAGGGGGAATTGATCCGAGCTGAGCTACATACTTAAACACGAGCCCTTCTCTGACATCACTTCCTCGGCCCCCATTTGAGTTTAGCTCAGCTATTTGAGGTACACTTGAATGTCATAGAAGGGGGGTCATTTATTAACAATTGTATACAATCTAAGTACATATAGGTAATTTATTACTGATAGTACACTCGTAAATGGTCAGCATTCCATGGGTGAGGCAACTTATGGCCATTCAGGTCCACTATTACACATACGTGTCGGGCTGAACCACTTCACGAACACTGTATAGTCCTTCCCAATTTGGCTCAAACGCTCCCACATGGGTCAGTACTTTCTTGAGGACAAGGTCTCTT